ACGCGCGTTGACCGCTGGCGATCGTACACACCACCAGGAACCACGCGCGCTGACCGCTGGCGATCGTACACCACCAGGAACCACGCGCGCTGACCGCTGGCGATCGTACACCACCACCAGGAACCACGCGCGCGCTGACCGCTGGCGATCGTACACCACCACCAGGAACCACGCGCGCGCTGACCGCTGGCGATCGTACACCACCAGGAACCACGCGCGCTGACCGCTACGTCGATTATTTCCCCGAGAGTCCACGCTAATCGGGTCATGGACGCGCCCATCGTCACGGCGTCCACGTACGCCAGCAGTGACACCGGTTGATCGTGGCCGCAGCGCGAAACGACGAGCGCCAGTCTACGAAGCGTCGGATCTACTCGCTTTGCGAATACGGCCATTTTTTTAATGTATGAGGGAGCGAGAGCGGCGAAGACACGCGATACTGGGCGGCCGAGCAGCGTAATGACAACGCTGTTTCCCACCAGAGACTACCAGTGTTGGAAATGAAGGTTCGTGCTGTCTTTAGTAGGCAGGCCTTCATTCCTGAAAATCGATATCACGGAAACGCGGCACTATAAGGAAAACACATTCACCCCTTATTTGTATAAGAGCAGGAAATTTCTATGGCGGGCAACAATACAGTGTTGGTGGCAACATTTTACGCACCGTGTTCGGATCAATGCGAGTACAATACGGACTCATCGGAGACCCGAGTATATACTAGAGCTATACGGTGGCGCTCGTAGTGAAAGCAGCATTGTGTGAAAACCTCGCCCCACAAGAGGCAGCATTGAACGTCATGTACGCGCGCAGGTAAACCTACTATACGACGTGAAATGCGATAGCAATGGGGGAAGCCTCAGCAATATGATAGAAGCAGCATCGTATAACACGATTACGGCGCCGAAACCGTACAGGGCCGCAGCAAATAAGCTGCAACGCGAGCTCTCACGGGTCACAGCCCTTGTGCAATCATCGCAAACATTGAGCTGTCCATCCCGTATACGGTTAAAACTGAAATGCGCATTCGATGAGCTATATGGTGAAATAAATTATGACTGAAGGAAACTATCGCCACTGAAGGAACATCTCGTCACAGAGCGTCGAAATGGAAGGCCATTAGAAGGCGCCGATCCGGACGTGTGGGACCGCTGTGTACGGGGTCTGCATTAACGCTCCAGTGCAGATCATGTTCAGTTGCGGAAGAAGATTTGCCAGGCCAATTTCCCCGCCAGCGGTCACTAGTATCATTAAGTGTCGGCTGTCGTTACTTCCACGGGCGGTTTTTACAACCTGGGGACTGAAAAGCACGAGATATTAATTTTAGTCACACGCTACTATTCGCCGATAATGGTTCAGCCAATCTGCGACCTCCAGAGACAGCTATAAGCCGCAGTCTTTTACACTAGAATGGCTTGGTTTTCAAGTCAGGAGTTGGCTCATTCATTAAGCACACGATGAAAGATGATTATATGTCATATGATATATATATCCATCCCATCCCATCCCATCGCACCGCATCCCATCCCATATCCCATCCCATCCCATCTCATTGCATCCCATGCCATCCAATGACATCCGATGCCATGCCATGCCATGCCATGTCATGCCATCCCATCCCATCACACCGCATGCCATGCCATGCCATGCCATCCCATCCCATCCCAAAGAATAAAAAATAATAAAAAATCAAAAGATAAAAGACATTAAAATAAAAAAGTAAAAAATAATAAATAATAACATGAAATTATATAAAAAATATAATATTTGATATGTAACCTACATAGGCTTCCGTGAAGTGTTCCCGTCAGTTTGCGCTATTATTATCATGTACCATAGTTTATTTTGGATTTTTACTAAACGTTTAAATGTAGTAAAAAAATTAATTAAATTTTGAAATTAACGGTGAAGTGGCAGAAGTACATACTAAACAGTCCAAAAGTAAAGAAACAGAATTTCCGGAGGTGGGATTCCAACCCAGAATCAATGGTTTTGAAGTCCGATGCTTTATGCATTCGGCCACTGGGGAGGTATGGTTACAGAACATGATTAACACGTTGGAGATGGACAACAGATATCCCTCGTTCTATTTATAGATTGTGTACAGATTTTCAAGGTTTCCCTCACAAAATCACATTTTCGGAGGTTACATTTTCTTCCAAAGTTGAGAGGCAGGATACGGAATCATTGTCGACACGTGGTGTACGTTTCACGCCAGCAATTCACCCCCTCCCGAGTTTTTAGCCGAAATGTCTTACTTTAATAGTATAGATATACATATACAAGGCATGCTACCTACAGATGACGATCTGACACGCACACGGTCACTGAGCAAGTAAAACGCATTCTGCGTATAAAGATGACACGAGATGGCAACGAACGTTTTCTTGCATACGTGCGAAAATGCCTTTCTCCGGTTTTCTTGGGAAGATTTACTGCGTAAAATATAAACTTGGTTTTATCATAATGTTTTGATTTGATATGGCCCTTCAAAATAGTGAATTAATTCACGTGCAATAAATCTAAATCGAGCATACCGACTCTATAAAACTATGATGTATCGGAACGACAATGTAAAAATTCAGTGGCGTAGTTAAATACAGTTATTACAACTTAATTTACTAGACGAATTATTATTTTACCGTAGATTGAACGCCAAATGACACAACTTTTCATCAATGTCAACGCGGATCGTTTTGATGGCAAACCCAATTCTACATTAATTGTAATGCACATGCTTAACGATGGCCTTAATGGCGGAGCTTATTTATAATGACCCGTGCATCCCTAATAGGAGAATTCATACTGCATGACAGCGTGCATACCTAATAGGAGAATTCATACTGCATGACGTGGTTGAGAAAAAACGAGAGAGACAAAAATGTAGGTGTGCTGGCCAACTGTGTATAAACGTGTTGTATTTAATTTGGCATAATAACTATGAATGATGACGAGCTCACGAGACATGCCTTCTGACATTACGCAATAAATACGCCTGCACACGTATAATGTATTCGGTATCCGACGTTGCGCAGTCTCTGTTTCGTACGATGCTTACATCGCGCGCGGAAAGAGAGAACCGACATTTTTAACTATCGCCACTGAGAGAACATCTCGTCACAGAGCGTCGAGATGGAAAGGCCATTAGAAGGCGCCGATCCGGACTGTGGACCGCTGTGTACGGGTCTGCATTAACGCTCCAGTGCGGATCATGTTCCAGTTGCGGAGAAGATTTGCCAGGCCAATTTCCCGCCAGCGGTCACTAGTATCATTACAGTGTCGCTTCGTTACTTGCCCCCCCCGCCCCCCCCGCCCGCCCGCACGGGCGCGTTTTTTACAACCTGGGGACTGAAAGCAACGAGAATTAATTTTAGTCACACGCTTACCTATTCGCCGATATGGCAGCCAATCTGCGACGCTCCAGCAGACAGCTATAAGCCGCAGTCTTTTATCACTAGAATGGCTTGGTTTTTCAAGTCAGGAGTTGCGCTCATTCATTAAGCACACGATGAAAGATGATTATACTGTCATATGATGATATATTATATATATATCAAGGAGTAATAATACCTCTCTAGCTATACCTCTCTGGCAATACCTTCTCTTAGCTAATAATAGTATTATTAGCTCTAGAGTATATAATATATATATATATATATATATATATATATATATATATATACATACATACATAGCCACAACATACATCACATAACATAATACAAAACATACATAATACATACATACATCATACATCATAGCATACATACATACATACATACATAATACAATACATAACATACATACTATACGTACTATGACATACATACATACATACATACATACATACATACATAATCATACATAGCATACATACATACATACATACATAACATAACATACATTACATACATACAATACATACATACATACATTACTATAGCATTACATACATCCATACATACATACATACATACATACATACAATTACATACAATACAGTACTACAATAACATACATACATACATACATACATACATACATATCACGTACATACATACATCATACATACATACATACATACATTTAATGATACATACATACATAACATACATACATAATACATACATACAGCATACATACATAACATACATCATACATAGCATACATACATATACTAGTACATACATACATACATACATACATACATACATACATACAATAATACATACATACATACATAATACATATATACGCACGCATGTCCACACACAACACGGCAATGGCGCGTCCATGGCAGTTGTGCCAGCGCAACCGGCTCGTGCCCAGCTCAGCGTTTCGGCCTGAGTAAGGTATTTAGCAGGCAGAGCTGACACTCGACATATGTCAACAGATAGAAGAACGTCCTGACGACCTGCCTGACGTGCAACACCAGCGACATACGCGATGCAAGGCAAGCGCCGCATTACGACGGGCGCCTGGTTGCGCCCCCCCCCCCCATAACACACCTCTAGCAAATGACTGACCGTGCTAAACCCCCCATCCCCAACCACAACGCACAGCAGCATTCGATCCGAGTTCTGCATTCACAGGTTACGTATTCCCCACGGACGCATTCAGTCGATTCGCATCACCTGCATTCCACTAGGGTCGGCATTGACTACAGCCCGCATTCAACGAGGCTTTATTCGGCAAAAATAATGTCGTGTGCATTAAACCTCCTGATGTTCTCCAGCAAAGAATACCATTGGTTTGACATGAAAGCATCATTTCTCACGTTCAGCACACACCGACGGTCATCAAAAACTATTTTTCACAGTCGACGCCGAAATACATCAGCCGGAATCCAAGAGCCATTAGCAATGTTAAACTTTCCTGACCGATATTTCTATTGCGCATAAAATATATCGGTCATTCAGGCGATGTGTGCTGTGTGTGTGTGTGTGTGTGTGTGTGTGTGTGTGTGTGTGTGTGTGTGTGTGTGTGTGTGTGTGTGTGTGTGTGTGTGGTTTGTGGAGTGTGTGTGTGTGTGTGTGTGTGTGTTGTGTGTGTGTGTGTGTGTGTGTTGTGTGGTGTGTTATG